CTCCTTGCAGACAAGGCGTCGTTGCCGACTTTGTCGCGGCACAGCATCAGTACATGCTGAGGACAGCAGTGTGGGCTCGCGATATGGGTAGCACCGGCCAGCAACAGTGGCCCTGCAGTAGTTAGCATCTTTCGTCACGCGTTGTCCATGGTCCGCGAGGACCTCGCGCAAGTGGTGGTGCACCGCTTTCGCCGACACCTCACAGACATGTTGCATAAGGCTGTTGCCAGGACCCCAGACCAGCTTGATTGTGACAGCACTTTGTCCAGCGAGAGAAATCGGGTGGCAGAGAGGGTCTGTGTGAAGGCAAGCAGTGCTGCCTATCTTCACCCGGAGCTGCGCAGAACAGTACCTTGGGGCATGACTGCAGTAGCAGAGCAAGCCGGTCTCGCGGTAGTTTTTGACAGACAAAGTCGACAGGTAGAAATTCGAAATGTGATTGAGGCCTTGTGTAGAACCCCCGACTTCCGTCCGCTTCCCTGTCGAATCTGAGGTTGATGCCCTGAGGCCGCTCCTCGTTGAGTCTTGACAATCTTTGAGACAGCTTGCATAAGCTTGCTTTGTTGCTTGTTGAGGCCTGCTTTGGAGGAGATCTTGATGGGCTTCGATTCTTCAACGAGGCAAAACTGCAGCCGACATAAGCATCATGCCCATGTGGAGCCAGGGGACCAAGCAGGCAGCTGCACTCCCAAACTGTGTGAGGTGCTTGATCTCTCCTCGGTGCCAACCCAACTCAGACCCTGACATTGTGTACTTACGGGACTGTGCTAGACTCGACATGTTTTCCTCCAACCTAAACCCACGATCTACTGCGACCTGTATTGGACCAGAGCTCGGCATAAGACGGCATGAGATGAAGCCTGCACCAGTTGTGACACCCGGGGTGTGAAATTCACAATCCTCGACAATTCTGCACTGTGCACATCTGGGCGCAATTTGTCTAAAATTGAACGTGTAGTCGGTTGCTGATACCGCAGCCGCATGTTGAAAGCGTGATTCCATTGCAGTCAAGATTGAGAGATGCATCGTCTCATCATGATCCACCTTGACTGTTTCAGCAGGCCCGGTGCAAGCCTTGGAATAAAGCCACGAGAGGCCCTAGGATGAGCCGATTGGCCTTTGCACTGCCAACTTTGAGCAGATGCTGCGCGAGTCCTTCCCGCCGTGCCACTGGGACATCAACTGCAGCAAGGGCCTACTGCGCACCCTGCATCGTCAATCCGCTGCAGACGAGGCATGCAGTATCTGGTCGACTTTCAGCGACAGGGCAAGCACCTCAAGCGTCAAAGCCGCAAGACATGATAGGGATTTAGCAGCAGCCAAGCTATCTCGTGGTCTGGTTGATTTTTGTTTTGCGGGCCATCCTCGCGCATTCGTTTCTAGTATCTTCTCGTACGGCGTCGAACGGATGGTCGGAGCCGAGTTGTTCACTTCCGGCCTTGCAGTCTGATGCTCCCCACCTCAGACGAGCATCGCAAGGCACCATGGGCGCATTCAGCTTCGACCTTTGCTGAGAGAAGCTGGGTGCTTTGTCCAGCAAAGACTTCCACAATAAGCTGTTTCCGAATCGCGGAGATTGATCCTTGCCATGCTGAAGCTGTCGAACAGCTAGTTGCAGAGATGAGAAGCTGCAGTTTGTGATTTGTGATCCACTTGCCGTTTTTTACTGGCTGGCGAACTCGTGTTTCGAGGCTTCCTTTGCCAGAAGCAGTCCGATGGTGGCGCCGCGAGTTCTTACGTGATCCGGCTGTGCGGGAGGCAGGGCGATAGCACCATTCAGTCCTGCAGCAGAGAATACGTATAGCTTGCAGTTGCTGCGCTGCTTTGTATCGCCACACAAACGAATGCTGGGTTCCAGTGCAAGATCTGTCCCGCATGCCTGCAAAAGGCGAACAGCAATGAATTCAATTCGTGTGCCGTGTCGAGCGGGCAGAAGATCCCTGGACATGACGCTTCGAAGTTTAGAGACTAAAAACAGAGGCCCCCCAAGCAGTGGCTCATACAAGTATTAGCGCAAGACAGTCGTCCAAGCTAGTGAACATGACCCGATGCCTCGTGGCTGCTTGCCCTGAGATAGATGCTGTCACTAGCTGCGGCCACTATAAGGCTTTCGAGCAAGTATGTAAAGTCCAGTATGCATCTCCTTCTGGAGGAAGATTTCAACTCCGAACATGCGGTCCATATCCAGCAGCTTGGCGACTAATGTTTTGCAACATCGATTTTGCAACATCGAAGTGCATGTGATTCTCGGAGGACTTGACAACTTCGAAGATACCCTGTCGTTTCTTTCAAGAGCAATGTCACTTGAGCTCCAGGCATGCCTACGGACAGATGGGCCTCTTGGCTGCGCCAGGTCCATGCCAACGTGCCAGCTGAAACTTGTGAAGGTTTTCATGGTGGGGATTCTTGTGTCAGATGAGAGACTGGCGCAATGTAGGTCAAGGTGCGGGTGTGGACTGTGCATTCCTTGATGCTGAAGTAACCACTATTAATTAACTAATAACTATAATAATCCACTCTTGTAAGCATTGCAAGAAGAAAGCTCTGCGCAGGCTGATAAACATGTCGAGCGCGGGAGAGACTCTAGCAGCAGTCGCCGTGCATGGGTTCGAGATGCCGGTGAGCAAGCCTGACACGACATGAATCACAGACATTATCCATCGAATCCCGTCGACAGAGCTGCTAAGATGTCGGCCGCCTTGGCTAGACCCAGGCAAGCGGAAGCCAGCATATGGATGGAGCTGCCGGAAGGCCACGAACGCTGCGTGCCATGCCACCCTTGGAGCTTAAGGCAATCCCAAAATCCGATCTGCCACGTTCCTCGTGACAGCGAGGCTTTGGACCCCAACGTGTTTCCGCCAGTCGGCGTCGCTTCGCCTGAACATATCTGAGCTGACGAACTAGGGATCCCGGGCTTTCTTGACGCCTGCTGCTTGTTGTTCGAGTTTCAGCGTCAGGCTCTGAGGTCGTGGCAGATCGCAGATCAAAGACTTGCAAGAACAGCCTCTTGTCAAACCTAGGCAAAACAAGCCCATGGCTGCCCATTTCGCTCACTGGATGAGGAAGAGCTGCTTGGCACGGGGAATCTGGTTGTAACTTGGGCGAGTCCCAAAGGGTCGCGGCCTGAGGCTACGCAGGCTTCTCGTGGACTTCACCTTGTCGCCGGCGAGCGCTGCCGCGGCTGCATCGCTGGCGAGGGGGCAGGCCGGGCAGGCTACAGCACGTGTGCTTCACCTCACACTTGTATCACTCCGGTGTTTGCTTAGCGCCGTGTTTCAGAAGATTTCAGATATCGCTCCAGCTCCGTTTCGGCACTCGGTTGGGCGTGAGGGCTGGCTGGAGCTTTGGAACGGTCAGTCATGGAGTTACTGGCAGGGTGTGCAAGGCCTCCAACCTGTAACCCGTGCTGGACGATTCAATCTGGGCCTCATCACATAGTCGTACATACCAGACATAGAGTCCGGAGTCCGGCTTGACTGAATCCGCATGCGTTGGGACCTGCGACCTCAGGTTGACGAGTCTTCGTTGGGCCTGCCAGAGTTTCCGAGCGAAGTTCGCCAGGCAGGGTCCGAGAGCGGCTGGGGCAGGCTTCAAGCCTAGACAGCATTTTTCGGAAAGTGGAGGGCAGTCACAGAAGACTCTGCTTCAGGAGGAGAAGGCTTGCCTCTTCGTCTTTGGAGAGCGCCATCCCGGGGCTGAGTTGCTTCAGGCCGCGGGTCATCCCATGGAATTCCTCAGGAGGACGGGGGAAAGAGGGGAGGTCCGAGAGAGGCCCTTCTTCACAACCTCGCAGCGCGAAATGAGCTCACGACAAAGCTCCAGACTCCACTGAGTGAAACTTCAAGAGCTGTCCTGTGGGAAGGAGCCGACGCTACTTCAAGAAACCAGATGCAGGAAGTGCCACTTAGCGTTGTCAACTTAACCTTCTGGACTTGTAGCTGAGCTTGCTTCAAATGGCATGGAATGACTTTGAGTTGAATCTGTGTAGGATGTTGGGTTTTGAATTTTCAGCCCTTCACAAGATAGCCGGAGGGTTCCCCACGCATCCGCTTGCGCTCGACTGCGAGCCTCGAGGCACACCAACGAAGCGAGACATCGGTATTGCGAGATCGACCGGAAGTTCCGCAGCCAAGGCCTGCAGTCAAGACATCACCCACCACACGCCAGAGCCGCAGCGCGTGTACCTAATCTTGGACACAGCTGCCGTAGCCTTGCTGTTTTCCTACCAGTTTGAGCAGTTTTGCAAAACGAGGAAAACCAAGTTCGATACACTGAAGGCACAGCGACGTCTGGAGGTTTGTCTCCGCATCAGAATGCGTGATTGTGGCAGTGCGAGCAACTGCGAACATACCCACAGAATGAAGCAGCTTCGATCTTTTCCGCAGCACATGTGCTTGCTTCAGGCAGCCTGCAAGGACGGCGTACAAGAAGCCACTTCGTGTGGCATCGGGGCTGGGGAAGCTGTTCGATGAACAGTTCAGACAACTGCGTCCACGCGAGGGGGGCGAGGGGAAAATTATCGGATGTGTGCTTCTGAGAGCACCTTGTCTGTCTGGCCTGAGCAGCCGGTTCGAGGAGTCAGAAGTTGTCCTCCCCGCGCTCTCCCACATGCCTTGCATTGCTCAAGTCAATTTTAACGATTTGAATCTAGTGACGGCGGGCAGCATACCGCTACGATCTGCGCAATCTCATGCAACCTCATCAGTTGATGTACTCGGTGTCGCGGCTGCTCAACGAACCAAGTACTTGTAGGCTACTGACGACGAGTATCCTGAGCGATTTTGCAGTTGTTGGCGGAGTCTAGCAAGACCATCCGACAACTCGACGTGACTACAACTGAAGCCTCACATCAGGCGGAGTGTGCTACGCTGAACTTCTGCGATACTTCTGCCTGGCAACAAGCAGTCTTCCGGCGTTAGGCTTGGAGCTAGTAGAAAGAGGACAGTTCGCGTATCCTTAGCGGTCGAACAAGCAGGACCATGTTTAGTGCAGAAGATGCCATGTTTTGGCGCCTTGCCATCCTTGCGGTTGGCGCCGGCCTCCTCTTTGGTGCACCATGGCTGCATCGAGTAGTTCCTGGATTCAGCCGCCTGCTCAGTTTAGCGCGCCGACCTCTGTCCAGAAATGCGTCCCGTGGTCCTGTCTTGTGAGTTGCAGCATCGCGACGCTTGTGCCGGAACCTGGCGTCGCAATGACTCAATGCAGGTGGACTTGGCATCCATTGGGGCGGCAGTTGAGTCCATGTCCGAGGCCAAAAAGCTGGCACCACATGTTCGCGTGTGCACAGTCAGAGCCCTCGGAGCCAGGAGCTCCAGCTGAACAGGGAAGAGACAGAGTGGGTCGTCTCCGGTGCGAAAGGCGCCTCTGCCTCTGTCGCAATGAGACTCGCCTGCTCCGACACCTTCCAGGTGGAGCCATTTTCGGCAGCCTTTTCGGCGGAGCACTGATCATGCCGGAGACTGAGCTCAGCCCAACTCCCGCCGAGACGTCTAAGCCGAGGTTTCGCGAAGGCTAGCGACTCTGTCGGGTTGAACGTCTGTGTTGAGCAGCGGTGGGCGCATGCTGTCGACAGTTCAAAACAAGACGTGTCGACCCTTGCGCAGTCTCAGGAACAGTCTCAGGAACGGCAGAACACTTCCTAGTTGCTCGTGCTCGGTGCATCATTCCGTGCAGAGGTCCCGGGGCAGGCGGACGATCATCGGCTGGTCTGCGATTCCGAGCATGATCGGAGCCTGGCCTGATACAGTCCTTTCGCGGTGTTGGTGACCCGATGTTCTCCAAGGACCAGCGCTTGTCTTTACGGCTCATAGCCTGCCGCAGCTGATCGTGGGAAGATTCTTGCGGCTCGGCTGCGGACTCTGATCCTTTCTCGGATGCCTCGCAGCGTAGATCTGACTCAGGATGGGGATCGGCATCGGCCTCGCCTCGGTGGCCACGCCCAGCTACCTCAGCGAGGTCGTCCTTCCCGTGCCTTGGCTTTCGGCCTCTCGCCCAGCTACCTCATCCACAGACCGATGCACCGACGCCTCCTGCAATGCTCGGAAGCCGGAAGCTCACTGCCTTTCTCCCGAGGAGCAGCGAGGCCTCTTCGAGGCGCAGGGGCGTGGGGCCTCCAGCGAGTCCAGCAATGTCCAGCAGCTTTGAGGGCTTTCGGACACCCAGCGACCCACCGTTCAGGCATTTCATCCAGCTCTCGCCGGAGCATAGAAGGGATCACCCCCTTGCCTTAATGCGTTTGCAGTCTTGGTGTTTCGTGCTGGCAACACTCGGAAGCAAAGACCTCGTCAAAGCACCAGAAAACCAGCTGAAAACGGAGACATCGCTCGCCGTAGCGATCTCAGCTTGTTGTCACCTTCTGGCCAAGACTCTGGCTGGTTGCATTGAAGTGGTTCAGCCGTGCACACTGAATGATCCTCGAGAGCCCAACCTGTGTGACAGGCAATGTACGAATTGGGAATTGCTTCTGGGATGTTGCTGTCTGCTTTGGCCAATGCGCTCCTACAGGCGGGGCCGGGCCGGTGTTCTGAAGCATCACCGTCTGTAGTTCCAGTGTGAAGTCACCTGTCCCAGATGCTGGATTTCGACGCAGTATGGCGCTACCAGGCAGGGCAGGGCAGAACTGGCAAGTCGGTATGCTTGAGAACACAGGGCACCTCACAAGGGCGTCTCCTCTAGAATCTAGACAATCTACAGGGCCGCTGGCAGGCGGGATGCGTGCCTTTTGTCTTCGCCTGCCCCGTGCTGCTGGTCGTGTGGACTGTGCCGGAATCACCCAGGCACGGGGACATCAAGCAAAAAAGTTGATGGCAACTGGTGACTGGTGAGAGCAACTGTTTCACGTGTCCTGGCCATTGGACATGTGCAGGTGGATGCTGCAGACAGTGGGATCCAGCCCTTCGTCTTTGCTGGCTGTGCTGGAGGCTTCTGTGCCAAGTCTCGGAAATTCAATCAACTCTGTCTCGCGGCGTGCAGGAAATCTCCAGCCTTCGGCGACCAGGTGCGCGGAAGCGCCTGGAGACATGGCGATCCGGAAGGTGCCGGTGCCTCCATTCGCTGTCTGCACTCACAACGTCTGCCTGGCAGGGTCAACCTCGAAGAGCTTTCGAGTGATGAGGACACGGAAGGCCAGGATGATCTGATCCGCCGCGAGGCTTCAATCGCTGCTTGAGTCATCGTCAGACGAGAAGGGGCCGCTGAAATCTGAGGTCTGTGGGATGACAAGCATCTTGCGGCTGGTAGTCCGCTCTACCGGTCAGACAGCAAGCTGGAGGCCACTGGAAAGTTCCCCTGGAGCGTCTCGCATTCCAGCCGCAGCCGGTTCTGTTTGGCAGAGGAGAAGGACGAGGCTGTCCGCCTCCGCACGCTGCCCATCCTTCAGCGCACGCTGAAAGATGTCCGGGTCCCAGCAGGTCCCAGTCATTTTCAGTCTCGGTCCAGTGTGGGCAGCACGATATGCGCGAAATGCGGCCCAACCCCCCCAAACCGGACTGCTGATCAGCACCATGCACCTCCTGCCTGCTTTGAAAACTTGTATTTCGCTCGCCAATTGTCCGATGCGTTTTAGTTTTCGTAGGCCGGCTTCATGGACATTGCCGGACAGCAGCTAATGTCTTTGTGGCGTGCGGACAGGTTTGCGCCATCATCGTCGGCTCTCAGCAGGCTGATCATTGATTTCGTCAAGCAAGCTTCCTTCCGCTTCGGATAAGACGTCTCCAGTTCTCGAAACAGGTGCCTGCTGGGGCTCGTCGCGGCCTGGGGCTGGCACTTGCGGCTGCAGTGCTCAATCAGGCCTGTCAGGTAGCGTTTGCATATGGTAGTAGTAGTAGTAGTAGTAGTAGTAGTAGTAGTAGTAGTAGTAGTAGTAGTAGTAGTAGTAGTAGTAGGAGTAGTAGCAGTAGTAGTGGTAGTGGTAGTGGTCGTGGTCGTGGTCGTGGTCGTGGTCGTCGTGGTCGTCGTGGTCGTCGTGGTCGTCGTGGTCGTGGTGGTCGTGGTGGTCGTGGTGGTCGTGGTGGTCTGGTCGTGGTGGTCGTGGTGGTGGTCGTGGTGGTGGTCGTGGTGGTCGTGGTGGTGGTCGTGGTGGTCGTGGTGGTGGTAGTGGTCGTGGTAGTGGTAGTGGTAGTGGTAGTGGTAGTAGTAGTAGTAGTAGGAGGAGTAGGAGTAGGAGTAGGAGTAGGAGTAGGAGTAGGAGTCCGAGTAGGAGTAGGAGTAGGAGTAGGAGTAGCAGTAGCAGTAGCAGTAGCAGTAGCAGTAGCAGTAGCAGGAGCAGCAGCAGCAGCAGCAGCAGCAGCAGCAGCAGCAGGAGCAGGAGCAGGAGCAGTAGCAGTAGCAGTAGCAGTAGCAGTAGCAGTAGCAGTAGCAGTAGCAGTAGCAGTAGCAGTAGGAGGAGGAGTAGTAGTAGTAGTCGTCGCCGTCGTCGTAGTCGTAGTAGTCGTCGTTGTCGTTGTCGTTGTCGTTGTCGTTGTAGTAGTAGTAGTAGTAGTAGTAGTAGTAGTAGTAGTAGTAGGAGTAGGAGTAGGAGTAGGAGTAGGAGTAGGAGTAGGAGTAGGAGTAGGAGTAGGAGTAGGAGTAGCAGCAGCAGCAGTAGAAGTAGAAGTAGAAGTAGCAGTAGCAGTAGAAGTAGAAGTAGCAGTAGCAGTAGCAGTACTGTAGTATGAGGGTTGAAACTTTGCTTTGCCCAATGGTCGAAGGCCGGGATGCCAGGGATAATATGTCTGCTTGAAAGCGATACTGAATGGCCCTCTGCAGTCATTTTGCGAGGCATGTGCCTCAACATCCATCCTCATCTACGCGGAGAAGATGCTCGCCAGTGTGGGCTTCGGCCAGGATTCCGAGCTTCTCAGGTTCCTACCTGGTGATGTCTGACACCACGAGGAGTCCCAAGACCTGCTGACGCTGATGGTCATCGGCGCCAAGATGTTGGGGGTGAGCCTGTGCAGCGTTAGTCGGCCCAAGAAGGCCGTCGGGTCGAAAGTCGTCCATTCCTTCAGGCTTGCTAGCTTCGGGACACGTGGGCGCTGTGAGCTAAGGATTCTGGGCCTCGTGATTGTTGAACGTGTGTCCAGGCGCAACTGCCACAGCCGATTCGGGGCTCCTGCGTAAGCTTGGAAGATCTTTTTTACGCCGCCCCTGCAATTCTTGTTCCATCTGCTCTGCGAGGCGGACACTGCTCGGGGCAGGCGGTGGCACCTTGGACGATACGAGTATGTGACTGTCGAGTCTTGTGTGTTACTAGGATGCTTGTGTTTAACTCAGGCCTCTCCGCTGTGGCCTTGCTGGTCATCGCGCTGGGTGCTGCCTGGAGCAGTCCCGTGCTGCTGGTGTATCTCGCCGAAGAGTTTGGGGCAGGGGTTCGTCATTGTGGAAGCCACAAGCCTGACCTGACAGACTGTGCCGAGGAGTGGCATGAGCTGCTTTATTGCCATCTTCTGCAGCACCTGGGGCATCGGCTACTGGGTAGTGGTTGTCGAGGTGCCGGCTCTGCGGTTCAAGAGGCACCGTGGCAAAAAGCGTCAAGTGCAGGTCACTGCTGCGGGAGGGCCTCGTTACTCTTCGGAGCCTTGGCATCCAATAAACGATTCCAGTCGGGGGGGCTTCCATGGCTTCGAGATATCGTCTGTAAAGATCCTGCACCCGTGCATCTGCCTAATTATCGACATGCAGATATGCAGGCAAGTGGATGGACAGCAGTCGATCATGGTACATGCACCATGATAAACCGGCAGGTAGAGCCATCTGGCGATACAGTCGTCGGGAGGCAGATGGACATCAGATTGTAACACTCCGAAGCCTAATTGGGCATGCAGGTCGCCTGCAGGTCTGGCCCTGGCATGCCACATCAGAATATATAACGCTTTCTTTTGAAACGCCACTTATATGATGTAGTCTCTCCCGACTCATCAACAATTTGTGGATCTGTAGGTCATTCTCTCTTGATGTATATAAACCGGCCTGAAGATGTCAAGCGACATGTCCGCAAAAGATTCGCGATGGGTCCGCAAGAAGAAAACACAAATCTGAGAAAGTTGTTCATTATGTTTCTCCTATCAACTTCTTTTCTCGCGCTCGTCTCCACCAGATCCTGGTGTGCAAATTGGTACACAAGGTGTTTGAAGACATGCAAAGGGACGATTTTGCAGAAAGGCCGGCTCAGCTCGTACTCGACAGAACCGTGCAGATTTCGGGGTGCGGCCACCCTCCCACACACACACAGAGACATACGATATGCATGTCTGTGTTTCTATTATGTATATAGTACACACATGCAAGTATGTGCACGCGTGCACGAAAGCTCATGAAGTTGTTCGTTTTGTGTGGCTGCGTAAGTCTTAGCTGCTTAGCTTGTGTCGGTGGCGCGTACTTACCGTGACAGCACGTGACAGCCTTGGAAGCCTGTGCTGCGGTTGCGAGAATTGCCCGGTAATCCTCTGCAACGGCTGCTCTCAGCAAACAGCTCTTAGGATGAAGCAGAAACCTTGCAGGTTGCTGAAGTTCTTGTCGCTGTATGATCAAGAGCCTGCGCCGAGGCCGCTCAGTCCGTTTCCACTGCGACACTGTTTGCGGCTGGTTGGTTGACTTCTCTGACTTTCATAGATGCTGCCCGCCTGAAGAGCCAACTGCACAGAACGGGCCTGCTGCTGTTGTGTGCAAGCTGTGCGTGCAGTCAAGCATGCCTGTCACGTGGTGAGGTTGTTTCTCAAGGCCCGGCGGGGCTTCCCGTCTGCATCCTGCTTTGCTTCTTTTCGGCCATTTCCTGGAAGCTCAAGAATCTGCAGAAGGTTGGCAGTAAGCCTAGGGCAGTAGCCTTTGAGGATTGAAAAAACCGAGCCGCTTCCCTGAAAGCACCAACGTCGAACACTTTGCCCTGCTGGCCGGTGAACGGCTGAGTGGAATGAGTAGTGTGAAGGATGGATACACGAAGGGCATCGAAGATCCTTTGCCTTGCTTTTTTGAGTGAATACGACGAGCTCCCACTCTGCTTGTATCGCGCTGTCCGCAGTGCATCCCAGGCTTCTGATGTACGCATCTGTAGCGGCTCTCATGAGTGGCTTCACTGCAAGCGGACAAAGACAAGGGTCCGGGCGCGGTTGTTCGTTGTCTTCAGCGAAGACTTCTCAGATACGGCACGCATCCGAAAGTGACTCCAAAACTCCTTCTGCGGGAACGCGCCGAGCGGTCTGGACTGATTCATGGCCCATGCTAGTCGTAAGACAAGTAGTTTGCCAAACCTGTCTCGTCATTGCTGAGGCATATATGGATTTTGCATTCTTCCCGAGACGGGAGGCCATTCCCTGGAGGCTCTGGGCTGATATGGCTTCAAGAAAGGCTGGTACTGCTTCAGAGGCATCGTGAGACTGCCAGGAGTGTGCTGGTGACATCGGGTCGGAGGTGCAAACACGTGGATCACGCTGCTTCGTCACTTTGTAGGTAATTTACACATGTTTGATCTCTACTGCCTGGCCTGGCCAAACAATAATTAGATTCCTTGGCACTCTGTCAGGCTTCGACAGACACTGACGAGAGTGACTCTGATGCGGGCAGTGCTTCGAGCTTCCTCAAAGAGTAAATCCGCCTTGTCTTTTTCGGCAAAGCGATCGATTATGCTGTGTTTCAGTGGCGATATGTGCAAAATGGAGAGAGGCTAAGTTCCTGGGTGATGCTCGCAGGATGCATGGTTGCGCTCGCCAGTGGTTTAAGGCTTCTTGACAAAGCCATTCCCGATCCCCTCCCACAGATCACGAAAGTGACGCAAAGCGTGGCTCCACAGTGCATGTGTTTCAAAGTCAACACTTGCATCAGCTTGTCATACATGCAAACAGCAGCATGCTCCTCGGCTTCAACTTCTTGCCGGCACCGCATGCGCGAGGCTGCTTGCTTGGCCAGCTGGGAAGACTTGTTGCCAAATCTGCTGGAGCATACCATCTTTGGCCAACACCGGCCATAATGCACCTGATCAGTGTCGTGTCTAAACCGAGGGCGACGGTGAGGGAATCATTGTCGGCTTGCATAAAGTCAGCCAGTGGAACTAGTAACTAGCTATTCTAGCTGTGTCTGCAAAGCCGTTTGAAATGAAGACGTTAGTGAGTTCAAACCAAGTCAAGGTTCAAATTCAGAAGAAAGTCTTTGTTCTGGGACGCAAAGCCGTGATTGGCGCTTGTTGCTTCGCGACCGGAAATAACACGCACATGAATACCACTGTCATGTTTTCCTAACAACGAGCCAAAGGCAACATCAGAATATGAACAGAGGCGCTTATGGAGCGAGTGTTCAAAGCGAACAGTGGCACTCTGCCGATCGACAGCACAGTGTGGCTCAGGGGGGGATTGTCAGTAAATGCAAGCACGGCACTTACTGACTTATGTAGACATCTATATCGGACATGGGAGCACCGGATCTCCACTCTCCCAGCGGCCCTCACTGACCTGATACCATGTCGATGCACAGTTGCTGATGATGCAGCGTGCAGGCCGGTGAGAGCATTTTGGTTTGCTTTCGCCTTTTTTCGTCCGTTGCCCTTGACTTACCTTGCTAGGGTTGGTGTGCTGGGCTACTGCCTTCCACGGGTTTCATGTTGCTGAAGCTGAGCAAAGAGCTAGATACTCCACATCAGGGAGTAGTCTTCCGGGGGACTTTGGATGCCATGTGGCATGAATGCCTTACCATAGTGTGGAAAACGATAATGTCAGTTATGTATGTGTAATGTCCTCATGAATATGTAAAACGATATAGTGAAGGTCCAAAAACGATAAGGCGATTTTGCGAGCCAACGCACGTGTGCTGGTGCAGCAGTGCAGAGCTCAAGTCGGGATCCCAATCTTTCCTGGCCATGGTCCGAAACTTAGAGTACCCAATCTAGGTTTCAAGGCTCCGAAACTTAGAGTGCAGCCGAAACGAGGCATTTCCAGTACTGAAGTTGTACCACAAGCAACCACAATCCAGGCAAGAGCCGAAACGAGGGCTCAGGGCGTTGTGAATTGGCTTGCTCTGGTAGGTTTGGGACGCCTGGACAGTTTCTAGCCTGCTCTGTTAGGTTTAGGACACCTGGAAGTGAGTTTTCGTCGCACGGCTCCAAACCCCCCATGCACTGGCGTGATTGTTAGCACGATTGGGTAGCTTTCGGGCCTCTAGTTCACATGGAATGGGCTCTGGTCAGCAAGTCATTTTGTCCACGCCCTTGTAAAACGAGGCAATTCCAGTACTGAAGTTGTGTACAAGAAAGCACAATTCAGCCAGAAGCCGAAACGAGGCATTTCCAGTACTGAAGTTGTACCACAAGCAAGCACAATCCAGGCAAGCGCCGAAACGAGGCATTGCCAGTACTAAACTTGTACTACAATCCTGCCAGGAGCCGAAGCGAGGCATTTCCAGTGTACTACAAGCAAGCACAATCCAGCCAGGAGCGAAACGAGGCATTTCCACTTGCAAAGCCCCTTTATCCTTCCTTGGCTTTTTTCAAGACCATTAGGGTTTAGGGCTCAGGGCGTTGTGAATTGGCTTTCTCTGGCAGGTTTGGGACGCCTGGACAGTTTCTAGCGTGCTGCAGGAGGTTTGGGATCCCGGAAACTGAATTTACATCACACACGCAGAAAAGTCCCAAGCACAGGCGGTTGTGAACTGGCTTGCTCTGTTAGGTTCAGGACACCTGGAAGTGAGTTTTCGTCGCACGGCTCCAAACCTCCCATGCACTTGCGTGATTGTTAGCGCGATTGGGTAGCTTTCGGGCCCCTAGTTCAAAGATCGAGCCCGCGACCCTGCCCAGTTTGGCTCAGGGGGTGGCTGCCCCCACCCGCCGCAGAGACATACACAGCTCAGCGAGCAAACACTCGGCTCTCGAGGCAGGTGGGGAAGGTGTGCGGGTTCAATTCCCGCCGGGGTCGTTTTTGTCCCTTGACCAACTTGACTAATTGGAACCGAGATTTTGGATGACTAAAACCTTTCGAGAGGGCAGGTGCCCGCGCCGTCGGACGAAGCGGGAGCTTTGAAGCCAACTGATCCCCCACAGTTGCTAGCGTGCTGCAGCAGGTTTGGGATCCCGGGAACTGAATTTACATCACACACGCAGAAAAGTTCCAAGCACAGGCGGTTGTGAACTGGCTTGCTCTGTTAGGTTTAGGACACCTGGAAGTGAGTTTTCGTCGCACGGCTCCAAACCCCCCATGCACTGGCGTGATTGTTAGCACGATTGGGTAGCTTTCGGGCCTCTAGTTCACATGGAATGGGCTTTGGTGTGGTTCCCAACGTGCCCGGCTCCAAGAAAGCACTGGTGTGGTGAACTAGCGCCCTGTAGGTTGCTTGGCACCTCGGTAAGTCATTTTGTGCACGCCCTTGTACAACGAGGCAATTCCAGTACTGAAGTTGTACTACAAGAAAGCACAACTCAGCCAGAAGCCGAAACGATGCATTTCCAGTACTGAAGTTGTACCACAAGCAAGCACAATCCAGGCAAGAGCCGAAACGAGGCATTGCCAGTACTAAAGTTGTACTACAATCCAGTCAGGAGCCGAAACGAGGCATTTCCACTGTACTACAAGCAAGCACAATCCAGCCAGCCTCTGGTAGGTTTGGGACGCCTGGACAGTTTCTAGCGTGCTGCAGCAGGTTTGGGATCCCGGGAACTGAATTTACATCACACACGCCAGTGCATGGGGGGTTTGGAGCCGTGCGACGAAAACTCACTTCCAGGTGTCCTAAACCTAACAGAGCAAGCCAGTTCA